ATTGAATTAAGCTACCGTACGGCTCCGAAATTAAGCACCCTTTTTTATTATAGCAGGTGCTTATTTTCGGATCAATTTAAAAATCAATATAGAATTTCTGTACTAAGTAAACCTACTTTCTGCTTCTAAGTAAAGTTATTTTCCAGGTTAAGCTGATTCTAATGATGGTAAAATCATCAAAATCGGTCCAGTAGAACTTTCGCAATTGCTCGGGCGACGTTTGTTTACATACAGTATGTTTATATGATCTGAAGATCAGTAAGCAAATGTCGTTCGAACTTTAAAGTACGATGCGAAAGTTTTACTGGATCGAATTTGATGATGTCACCACCATTAGAATCATCTTGATCTAGAGAATAACTTTATTTAGTAAGTAGGTTTATTTAGCAAAAAAAAAAAAAAAAAAACAAATACGATTATACTTATAGAGTGCTTATTTTCGGATATTGATATAAAGTTTGGTGGTGTTTAATGTGCTTAATTTCGGAGCCGTACGGTATTATCAAAAAGCCTTATTTTATTTTCAAGTTTTCGAATACTCTTATTTTATATACATTCATAAACAAACAAAAAAGTTTATTTTGTGAAATGGGAATTACGATTTCAATTTTTGATTTATTTTCGAAATGCTGCTTTTCTTTAATTCTGAATCCCACTATTGCTAAATATTGAAACCATATGACCGTAAAAAAAAATTTGGTCATAATTCTTTCTAATCTCTACTTATTACTTGTTTGTTAAAATACACGACGAAATTAAATTCATTTATATTGTTTCATATATAATATTATTAATTATTATTATGGTCCAACTTCTTTAGTGTCACATATTCAAAATTGAATGTTAATAAGGTTTATAATGGAACTGCTCAAGAATTTTTTTATTTTTTTTATTAAAGACGAAAGGTCATTTATTATACAAATTTTTGAGAAAAATTAAAACATGTATTTTTCTGATCATATTACATACACCAAAGCATGGTTTATATTGGTTAACTTCTGTTGATTATGACGTGAAAGTAGAAATTCCGGTGGCATTATTATGAAAGACTTTAAGAGAATTTCAAGTTAAAAATTTCCGAATTCGTTTGACAAAACCTTTATACTGTATAACTCAAAATAGTTGATGAAAATCTGTAAAGCACAGTTGCAAGGCTTCACTTAATTGCATGAGTAATACAAACTTTAAAAAAGATTTAAAGCCCATTGCAGATTCGCACCTTTCTTCTTTTCATATTCGAAAAGTAAAATGAGTAATGAATGACCTTGGATACAATTATTTACATGGAATAGGTGTTGAAAAAGATGAATATAAGCATTCATAAATTTTCAAAAATCTGTTGAGATGGGAGTATAGTTGTTAGGCGAAACTATATGATGCTAATCATCACATAGCCACATGTTAATAATATTAGTGCTATTAACATGTTACTATTTGTGGCTATGCGATGATTAGCATCACATAGTTTCGCCTAACAACTATGGATGGGAGATGCTGAAGGAATATATAATTTTGCAGATTGCTATTTTTATGGAACTGGTGTTGAAAAAGATGAATATAAAGCATTCATTAATTATCAAAAATCTGCCGAGATGGGTATTTCTACTGCAATAAATGACCTTGGATATTGTTATCTTCATGGAATAGGGTTGAAAAGGATGAACTTAAGTCATTGTTCATTATCAAAAATCTGCTGAGATGGGAGATGCTACTGCGATATATAACTTTGGATACTGCTATCCTCATGGAATAGGGTTGAAAAGGATGAACATAAGGCATTTGTTCATTATCAAAAATCTGCTGAGATGAGAAATGCGGATGCAATAAATAACCTTGCGGATTGTTATCAAAATGGAAAAGGATAAACTCAAGGCATTCGTTCATTATCAGAAATCTGCTGAGATGGAAAATGCTAATGCAATGTATAACCTAGGAAATTGTTATCGAGATAAAATTAGGGTTTGGGTCAAAACAGAATCCCGACAAACAAAAATCCTGACAAAATTGACTAACATTATGCTAACCCTAACCCTAATGCGGGCTAATCTGTCGGGATTTTGACCTTGTCGGGATTCTGTTTGTCGGGATTTTGACCGGCTCCCATGAAATTGGGATTGAAAGTACATAAGGCATTCATTCATTATCAACAAATCTGCTGATATGGTAGCCCTGTTGGAACATTTCAAGTTGGATATTGTTATCAAAATGGAATGGGGGTTGAAAAGGATGACATAAGGCGTTCATTCATTATCAAAAGTCTGCCGAGATGGGCGATACTGAGGGCATGTCTTTGGTTGGTTTTTTGTTACCGAAATGGAATTGGAACATCACGAGATTTGCAGAAGGCTAACGCTAATTATTGGTATCAAATGTAAATAATCTATTATTTTAATTCATCCCTAATTCTATAATTATACGTAATATTTTATAATATATAAGTTTCGACAATTATTAGGGAAAGAAATAAGATGTTGGGTAAGTTAAAAATATAGCATTATTTATTTATCTTAGTAGTAATTTCAATATTAATATATATTATTTATCCTAGAAGAGCCAAAAAGTGAAAATTTTAATATTGACGATAAATTAAAAAAAGTATTAATTGAAGAAAAATATTCATTATCGTGGATTTCTTATAAAGAATTTAATAATATTAGAAGGATTTGCGACAGTATTTTGTGCTTCACGGATCAAAATCTCAAAATGAAGGGTTCATAAAGGAGGTGACTTTTTATTTTAAACCTTTTTGTTTTGCTTATGAATGTAATGTAAATGATAAGAAATAAGTGTATTCGGAACTGATTGAAAATGAAATAAGAATTTTAATAGCTTAATTCAAAAAAATACGTCAACTATTTTAACTAAAAATCAGATTCTCTAGAATCTTATTTCAAATACTGCTCGTATCTTTGATATTCATACAGCAGGTTTTAAGTTTTTAATTTCAAAAAATCATGCTATCCATAGAATAAATATGCTACAACTAGATAATGAAATAAGACTAGATATATTTCAAAAAATAGTTCGAAAAAAAAGAAGTTATAATAGAGAAGTCCACAATAGCTGTTCAAGCCTCCTATTATCTATAATTAAATGTAGCAGAAACTTTAATAAATGGAACTCCGATGCAATGCTTGAATACTAATCCAAAACTATGTCTTAATATTGTAATAAACGAGATTTAAGAGGATTTTCGAATTTTCGATTCTCTTGACTTTTTTGAATTCCTAAATTATTAAGTTGAATTTCTAATTAATTAATTTTACTTTTTTGCCTAAGAAATCTTGGATTTCTTCTGCGGTTAGTACCTTAGATAATCGCTTTTTAATGTTTTCCAATAGTTTTCGGGCAAAAGAGTTGTCATTTTGTAAAATTTTTTGTTGAGTTTCTAGTAAAAGGTCTAACCACAATTAATTATCTTCATTCAATTTATTTATTTTTAGCAGCAGCTAATTGACACTAAATTTTCCTCTTCAATTTTCTTTGCCGCTAATTTTAAATAACATTTCGAATAATACTAGTTAATCTTTCTACTTGACTTTTTACCCTATTAAAATTAGAATTATTCTCACCAAATAAATTGTTAAGAGAAGTGTTATTAAAATTAATTGTGAGACGATCCAACTTATTACATTTATCAATCTTCAAACTAGTTAACTTTTGTTGCTGATCCTGCCCTTGTCCAGTACCGCAGATACTTAATTGCTGCAAATTAACAAAGTCATTAAGATCTAGCTCTCCTTCCAAAACAGTATTATAGAATTGAAAAGTTGGAGCAGTAGAACAGTTGTTTTTGTTTACACAATTATTACAATTATTTTGATGGACGGTATGACCACTTTGACATTGCCTGTAGATGTAAAGACTTGTTGCTTGTGCTCTTTGATTTACTGGAATTTTTTCATTTAACCATTCGTTTGCATTTACCATGTCGTATTACAGTGTTAGAGGTTTTTATAACTCTAACTCCACTCAAAATTGTTCTCACTATTTATTGTTTAAAAAAAAAAAAGGATATTACAGTAACTTTCAGTAATGATTTATCAATTTTAGTCTAAACTAAATCAGTATCATGATTGTCAAAGCCATTTGCATGATGTTACGTTATGGGAGAGTAATTATAAAACTTGGGCAAATTAAGGATGGGCGGATTGAACATAAAGGACAGTAAGGGGAGGGCGATAGTAAGAATGACTTAAACTTATTGAAGTTTTTATTAAACTATCGTTGAGAACTTGTCAATAGAGCGATCCTTATAAAATTCAATACACATCGGGTGGGAAAATTAATAACGATAAGAAAAATGTAGTAATAAATTCATAATGGAAATATAGTATTAATATAGCTAATAAAATAAATTATTTACATACGAGTAAAATAAAAGTTACATAATAATTAATTAATACACACGCAAGATAACGAAATTATGAAGTAATAACGAAATGCCAAATTTTCGCGTGATAATGAGCGTGTGCATAATAACAAGAGACTAGCGTGATAACACGATGCCTCTGATGTGAAGTATATGTTCTAGAAAGCATGTTTCTTAATAATGGGAATGTATATACTGTAATGGAGCATATAGAAAAGAGCTCTTGTTTCTCATCATAAAGTAACTAAGAAATGGATCTATCTTAGAATTTTGACAAATTTGGCCAGAATTAACTATAATTCTGGCCAAATTTGTCGATAAATCACTTAGAAATAATAATTCGCCTTTATCCGGTATCCTATTATTACGTGTTATTGGCAGTGATTACGTAATTTGCCAAATAACTCAAGCTATTTAGCTACTGTTACTATCGTAAATTGGGAGAGCGATTAAGGTTGCACGGTTTAGCTCCGATAGTTAACGTGATACTGGGTTTAATGATCTAATTATTATGAGGGTAAGTAATATCGATGGGTTATTTATATCCGGGTCGATGGTTGTTAATCGGAAGGGATGATACTTTAAGGGTGGATCGGAATGATATGATATCTATAAGGGTGGCGTTACTATTAAATGTACTATAATAAAACTAATAACTTAAACGTGATCTATGCGTTAATCACAATACTAGTAATAAATGTTCAAACAATTACTGATCCTATTTAACAATCTAAACAATGATTCTACACGTGACGTTACTTCCTATATAACTTGTTAAGAATACGGCTCTTATTATTCAGTGAAAGGTCTATTCGGCCTCAGTGCTTACTTCCTTTATGTTAATTAAGAGACACAGCGTATACTTTAAT